CTTTCTATAGATGCATATGACATTGTATCAGGGACAGGATTATTGAAGAGATGGATCAATTTGGATCTTTATCTGAGTTACAAAGAGTATATAAGGTGAAGAGAGAACTACCTATCTGCTGAAATAAAAGTTAGTGTCAATCAGTCTTTATTGAGCATACACAGTGTGCAGGGTATGCTATAATTGCTGCAACCTGCAAGTTAGAGTGCTAGAATGTAAGGTCAAAATCTTTTCTATATGTACACTTTTCATCAAGGCATATAATCTTCCTGATTTTCATCGCATAGCCAATGGATTCTTAAAGTTAATTAATGTGTCTTAAAATATAACAAAAATTGCACATGTGTTTGATTTAATATAAGAAAATATAATCATTCTCTAAGCTTTTCTTCAATAAACAAGTTTTTTAAGAAAAAACAACACCCTCTGTCTATAATTTAATCTTAGTGCTCTATAAAGTCCTGCTTTTAGTATCAGCTCTCAGAAGTGAATTGTTTGTTAAATTTCTATTAAGCTGAAGGTGAAAAATTAATGAACCATTTAAGATATTTCAAAATGGATGCAAGTCTGTTAGTTATGCAGCACAATAAATCAAGATTTTGTCTGTGTTTGAGTATGGTCTAAGGTTCCCTGATATTTAACTTTTGAATGCATTGTTTCTTATGTTTAATGGAGCATTTTAGAGGGAAAAAGAATGCAGTTATTGATTTTTTACTAAAAGATAAATATATCTCAAAGATGGTTTTAGTATTTGAAATACTTTTTTTACCCACAAAACATAATTTCAGAGCAAGGATAATCAGTGAGAGTTGCTGGAGACACCTGGGTTTTGGAAATCTATGTAATGTGTCTGCTGTGGGAGAGCAATTAGCTGGGGAGAAAGCATCCACATATAGCAAGCACGAGGTTAATAAAATTATAATTTATTCTTTGGTTGTACCTGTGATCCATTTTCTAGGCATTCAGTAAAATAAAGGCATTGAAACTACCTTTCAAAGAATTATTGATTCCTTCTTTTGTTTTCCCAGTAATTATTGAGCTCCTCTTATGTTCCTCAAAATCTCCTTGGCTTTGAGTAGCATACAATGAGAAGAAGACTTGATTCTTTGCCTTCAAGGAATTTAGCCTTTAGAGGAAAAACTGAAGTGTTTATTATGAAATGTTATTGTTAATTAGAAATGGTGAGTACTACAAGAAAGGTACAGATATATTGCATAAATAGGAGGGTGTCAGAGAAAGCTTACAGAAGGTGACTTGTAAGTTAGAGTCTGACATGTGTGATGCAGGAGAAAAGCAGCTGAAGTGGATGGATGGGCTTACACAAGAACATGGAAGATATAAATCACAGAATATGTAGGGGGACAGCTAGTTTTAGGGTAAGATGCATGAAGAGGAATGAAGGGAAATAATGTTGGAAATATAGGTCGGAGATTGTGAAGTACCTTGAATGGCAAGATAGAGTTCTGTATTTGAACTGGGGAGAGGTGAAGTCATGCAGCTTTTTAAGAACTTTCATTTTGTGTTGGTAATGTGTCAGCACCTAACATCTATGAAACCTTCAAAATAACAGATTGTCCATTTCTTATAAATGCTACAGTAGTCACCTCATTCCCAGGGGCGATGTTCCAAGATCCCCAGTGGACTCCCCAAACTGCAGATACTACCAAGCCCTATATATATTTTTTTCCTATACTTACATGCCTATGATAAAGTTTAATTCATAACTTCACAATAGTAAGAGATTAATAACAATAACAATCATGTAATAGGACTATTATAACAATGTACTGTAAGAAAAGTTACGTGAATGTGGTCTCTCTCTCTGTGATGCCTGAGATAGCTGGGAGGTTACTAAAAGGCGGGTAGCATACAAGTGTGGAGATGCTGGGCAAAGTGTTGATTTACTTCCCAGGCCGAATGGAGCAGAATGGAGAGAGATTTCATTATGCTACTCAGAATGATGCTCAATTTAAAGATTATAATTTCCTTTTTTTAAATGTTATTGATGTCAGAGAGGAAGGAAGAGGGACCGAGAGAGAGAATCACTGGGATCAGAGACTGCGATCCTGGCATGTTCCCTGACCGGAAATTCAACTGTGACCTCTTGCTTCATAGGTCGATGCTTAACCACCAAGCCACGCCAGCCAGGCATGGATTTTTCCATTTAATATTTTCAGACACCTCAGTTAACTGTGGGTAACTGAAACCCTGAAAAGTAAAACTGCAGATAAGGAGGGGCTACAGTATTTCATTGTCTGGTGTACACTAAAAGTTTCAAAGGCAATGGCTGAGGGAGAAAATACATGCTGGGCGAAGCAGAGGAGGTGGCTATCAAAGGCTTTCCGCTCTGTGCACACTGTTGATGCCTTGAGATTTTTATCACTGTAACTCCAGGTACAGCCTAGAGCAGCAGACATAGGGCTGCTCACTTGTGGCTGAGAGCAATTTCCTTGTGGTCTGAAAATCCCCTTTCGTTTATCTCAGCAAGCTATATTGCTGCTAGCATCTTCTGTGTGAACCAGGACCTGGCTCATGGCCATGCAACCTGTACAGTCTCCAGGACCCCCACTTAGAAGGACCCACACCTAATTTAATGCTCTATTGCCATATTGAAACTCTCCATACTTTTTGAACAAGTAAATGGTTAGGAAGCAGTGAGCTGCACTGTGATCAAAATGCACTGCCATACATCCATATAAAAGGGGTTACTGAATTATGAGAGCAGCAGAGCGCTTATATAACAAAACCGATTCGAAGCTTGAATCTTCATTATTTTTCTTCTTCAAAGCCATGGCTTCTATGGTTGCCACAGGGCTAAGCTAAATATCATTTCTTAGCCTTGTGGTTTTGCAGTTGATAAATTAAGGAAAAACTTCTGTAACATATTTTCTCATTTATAATCTGCCTCCTGGAGCCTGGGTACCAGTATGGTTGAGTTCTGCACCCCCTGCAGTCCTTTCAAATTAAATTCTGAGAAAAACTTTAGCAATTATTTCCCCTAATAAAAGTTCTGAAAAATGGAGCCCTCTGTTCGCAAACATTATTGGCTGCCTGGTAAAGTCATTCTGTTGTGTATTTTATTTTCTGAGTCAAGATAATATATAAACTGAATAAGGTATCTTTTAATTCTATCATTACGCACAGTTTAGTTTATTCTCTCTATTCTCTTTACCCTGAGTACTTGTGTATTTTTCCCTTATTTGTGCTATCATGGCTGTTTTTCCTTTTTATTTGTGTTAATTTTTGTTTTCTCAAACTTAGAGATGAATATAGTAAAATATTCCTGCAAGGCTTAATTCCTAAAAATATGTCACCTTCTCCCATACTTCCTTGTGTCCTTTCCTATCGCCCAAAGGTAAACACTCAATTGCTTTCAACATTTTTAGTTATTATTATTATTTTTTTATATTTGCCTCTCGGTCTGAAGAGCATTTTAAAGAGTTGAATTCATGTTTCAATTTCATCTATTATATTGACTTACCACTATGGACGACAATTTTTAATTTTCTTTCACAAGTACCTTCACCCTTGACTTTTTTCGTCTATTTTTCCTATAGAATGTTGCTTTTGTATTACAAGGTCATAGTTTATATTGTTATGACTATGTCAATACTATTCACTTCGTGTGATGATTATATTTCTTCCTTGAAAATCTTTTTACTCCCTTTGCAGCTAATAGTTGCCTCATTTCATAGATATTTTAAATTTTTCTTTGTATTTAGAACCTCTTCACATGCTAATTCTGATCTTACTGTACGTGTTCTCCAAATAGAGAAACACATACCTAGTATTTCCATTGTTTTCATCTTCCTGGAGAACTTCCCCCCTGAGCCTCTGGACCCCTACTCCTTTCCTCACTAGGTCTGCTGCCCCTGTGCCATTTTAGCATTGTTCTTGGATGAGAGTGCCCTTAAGAGTGGAAGGATTCATTAAGTTGATTTGAAGTTCTTTGTATGGGTGGAATTTATTGATGGCCGGGTTTTAACGTAGGGTGTCTTGGATGAGTGGCCTTATTGGTAGACTTCAGATTTTAAGTATTTTTATATATTCTCTGTTGACCTAGTCATGTTTACCAGAAGTGAATTTTCTATTGTCCTAACTGGAAGGAAGGGTTCTGGGTGTCAAGAGAGTAAAACATCTGAGAGCCTCAGCAATAGTAACGTCATCCCATCAAAGTTTTCGGCTCACCATTCTCTTTATCTGGTGTCTCTCTGCTTGGCATCCCACCTTCCGTTTTCTGCTGAAGTGAAGGAGGGAGGAACAGGCACTGTTCACATCCACAGGGTGACTGAGGGGGCAGGAGGAGAGACCCCCCCCCAATCAGAATTTCATCAAGTCTTCCTTTGCTCCTACTTAACTAGGTAGCAGGTATTGTCAATCCTTACACCTTTCTGGGTTCTGTGGTACAAACTGCATTGCTTTTCAGCATACCCCCTCTGCTGGCTTAGGTTTCGGTCTCCTTGGTCTGTCATCAACTATTCATCTGCTTTACAGCTTATAGAATCTTATTGTTTTTGTCTTTGTTAGTCTCTTAGACCATGTGGATTAGTGCTTTTTAAATTCCTTTATTGTCATTTCTGAATGGAGGTGTGTGTGTGTGTGTGTGTGTGTGTACAATCTGCTATCATTTACTAACATGCATAATAGTATTTGGACTGAATTTTTATTAAGTATTGCAAATCATTTTTAATAAGTAGGGTGTAAATAATGAATAAGCAAATGAACAAAATAAACCTGCCACTCATAGTTTAAATACTTATTACAGAAAATTTTTCTTCCAGTGTTTTTTTTTTCCCTGATTTTTTATTTTTTTTAATCTTTATACATAGGTCCTCTTTTTTGCCCCATTAACCTCTCCCAGCCCTTTCCTACCCACCCAAAGCCCTCACCACCCCATTGTCTGTGTCCATGGATTATGCCTATATACATACAAGTTCATTGGTTGATCTCTTCCCTATTCTCTTGACAAAGGGTTCTGTATCTTTCTCTCTTGAATACAGTTGGAAGCTTTAGGCAAAACCGATGGAACCTCACCTCTCTACTAGTGCAGCCCATCTCAGCGGCGCTCGTGGCAAAACTGATCTCTTCGTCCAAAGATGGGACCAAAAATGGTGTCTGTCGCCCTCTAGAACTTCCACCTAGTGGTAATGTATTTAAAATGTCTGTCTGTGTGTCTTATAATTTTATAAGTACTGTTTTCATTTTTAATCTCTTAAATCTTTGTGATTAAGATCGCGCTTTAAAAGAAAACACATTTATTTTTTTATGAGGTGCAGCCATTAGCTTCTCTGTCTCTTTAAGGGATATTTTTGGAAGGTAATTTTGATAAAGACTGAGAGTTGACCAAACTCAGAGACTGAAAAAAAGAAGGAACACATTTTGGACTGCAATAAAGAAAAGCAGCTTTGCACATAAAGCATTTTGTAAGTTTCATGAAAATCTGCTTAACGTAGCTTCCTGGTTTCAGCTTCAGCAGGCTTGTTGCCTGCCAAGATTCAGAGGATAGCAGTCAGCTATCTGGGGTATGAAGTCCTTTAGTAGAAAGCATTAAAGCCTAATTCCTGCAATTGACTAAAAAATCCCTCTGTCTTTACACATCATTGCCCGGGAGATGCTTCTTGTACTGCAGTGCAGTTTGTCAGGCCTTGTTGGACCACATAGGATAAAACTGAAGAAATTAAACTACCTGTAGTGGTGAAAGCGCTGCTGCCTCTTGTTTCTGCCTCCAGCCTCAGCATTAGAATTCTAGACAGGAGGTTCTCTTTACATATCGTTAAATTTGTATCTAGTCGCTGTGAAATTCAACTTGTGGGGCTCTGTTTTGTGTCCAGACCTGGAGGCTTAACTACCCTTGTTTTATTTCATCTGTTTATCCCTTGGCCACAAAATCATTAGAAATATGTTTCAAAGAAGCCTAAAAAAATCTGAATACATCCAGAATTGCCCTCTGGTAGAGATATAGCTTTTCAAAGGCCTATTGATTGAGAGCCTCCTAAACTGATTATTGATTGAGCAAAGTGGGAAATATAGACAACAATGATAAGCCTATGTCTTCAAAGTGGAATGAGGAAGCCCTTGAATTGTGTGTTTTTTTGTGTGTGTGTTTTTTTTTTTGTGTGTGTGTGTGTGTGTGTTTTGGTTTTGTTTTGTTTTTTTTTCTGTCTTCTATTCTGAGCCCACAAATTCATTATGGGCTCAATTTGTTAAAATCTATAAATAACAATGTAATAATAGTTTAGTTGTAAGGAAAGCACTGGGCTTCATAAAAGACTAGATTGAAGCCCAGGTTTAATTAATTGATTAATTCAACAAATATTCAGACCCCCTATATGTTCCTGCCACGCTCTGTCCTCGGTGAAGTGTTAGCCCCCTTGCCAGCACCCTGCACCACCTCCCTACCAAGAGCCTCTGTGTCTGCACCTACAGAACGGTCTCTAAGATTCCAGTATCTCACGTTGTTCTGAGAATTAAATCATGACGGACATCTGAGTACTTTTGTATACTGTAAAATGTTATGTTAGCAGCTGTCTTCCTCATCAAATAACCATATCAATGTGCGCCACAATATGTCAACTGTCTGCATAATGATGGCACAGCTAAGCAAAATAGCAATCTCCAGTTTTATCTCTGCAATAATTTAGCCACATACATGACTAAGAAGACATAGTGAAGCTTAAAAGACATAGTGAGATGTATACTGAAACCTGCTTATAACTCTAGTGTTAAAGAAGCAACAAGATAGGCCTGCTCTAGAGCTGTAACTCGTTTGGATCACTGAGAAGTTTTCCAGTTAAAGCCTGTGGCAGAAACTGCCACTGTCCTTCTTCATGAAGGTAAAGAGCAGTTTGCTACAGCCAGATAATAAAGGAAGGAAGACTCATCCTCTTCAGATCTTTCTCAGAAGGAAAAGCAAAATCTCAGAAGGAAGAGCAAACATCAGAATACTTTCTTAGCATATTCTTTAAAAAAAAAATCTGTCATTACCTTGGAAACAGTAAGCATATTTACAATTATCTATTTTTTTTCAGGGATCCTCTGGACCTGTTAGGCCAAATATTGATTGTCTTGACATTTCATTTCAGCCACAGTAGTACATAATGCCCCCCTTCACAGTGCCATTTTAAGTTGTAAGGCAATAATGACAATTAAATTATAGAAGCATTTTATAAATCTCTTTTGAATCAGAATGCAGATTCTCTATAACTAGAAATATTAAGGCCACCTGGGTTTAAATAGTCTACAGATTAACTTGGCATTTCATTCCTTGGCATTTTACAGATCCCAACCAGGTATCTGTAACCCTTTAGACTTTCAGAGCTTTCTGTCTACACTACATAAGCTGTTCTTTCTCTTTTTTAAATATTTTTAAATTCACTTTTAGAGAAGAAGAGAGAGGGGGAAAAATACTAATGTGAGAGAGAAACATAGATGTGAGAGTTAAATATCCATCAGCTGCCTCGTGCACACCCCTTACTGGGGATCTAGCCAAAACTTGGGCATGTGCCCTGACTGGGAAAATATTTTATAAATCACTTTTGGTGAATATAAAAATGACTATTTCTAAGTTGCATAAAACTTAATGTCATCAGTGATGATGTGATAAGTTTTACATAAGTAAATTTGGGTCACTTCTCCTCATAGGGATGGATGTACATATAAAGTATATACATATATAATACACATATATATGTATATATTACTGAAAATTCCATTTATTAGACTATAATGTCTACAGATAATATTATTTATAATTTTTACATATTTCAAAGATTTATATTTCTAATTTCTGAAAAGCTACTGGAAAGTACATATTATCATTTCTTGAGCAGAGATTTAAAGTGATGTATTGAACATATTATCCACAAATTGTTGCTATACTAAAATTTATTGGCAAGTAGTACATTTTAGCTTTTCAGAAAATATCTGTTAATTAAAAATGTTAATACAGTTGAATCTAGCATTGTTGTTGTGTTTTTTGTTTGTTTGTTTTTGTTTGGTTTTTTGGTTATATATGAGACCAATCAATCTGTCCAGAGTAGCCTCAAGAGAAAATTCCTCAGGAGATATAAAAAAATAAGCTAAAAAAAATAGAAAACTCGTTTTAGAGAAGGGTTGGCTTTAATAGATTTTGGCCATCAACATGTAAGGAAATATCCAGAACATGACATGCAAATTTAATTTGTTCAGACAGCTTGTATATAGCATGCATTTGGAGATGGTGATCACTCTTTATACAAACAATTTCAGTGAATGACGGTGTTGTGACAAATACGAGCTAGGTGTTAGGAGTCACTGAACTATGTGGTGGTGACACCCCATTGTATGGCTCTTCAGGCAGTCAGCTGCACAGTGAACCTAGGAGTCTGAGCTGGAAGCTGATAACAGAGTATTCGTGGAACTAAAGATCAGCCTTCGTGAGCTGCCAGCCTGAAGTCCTTGGACAAAAGCTAAAAAAAAGCTTCAGAAATCACTTTGAAGGACTGTTCATCAAGGCTCTTAAACAGAGTGAGCATAGGTGGGAAACCTATTGTCCAACGTCAACAGAAAGTACAGTCAACTCTCTGTATCCTGGGGAGTGAAGGTTGGGTTTACTGAGGGGGACGTAGAGCTGTCACTCACCCAGAACTTTTCCAGCTTCCAATTTTCTGTCTCGACAGGTTTGATTTTAGGAAATGATTCAGCTTTGTTTCAGTCTAGAGTTTTGTTTGTGTGTTTGCTAAAAGACCTAAAGACAACCTGCGATGTATACTCTGAAGAAAAATTATTTTAACAAGTGTTACCCAATTTTCAATGTTTCTCAGCAATTTTTACAGGGTCTTACATTCTTCTCTCATTATTCCTCAAACACCTGTCACTCCTTTCAAATTACAGTAGCTCCGACTACACTTTACAGTATATAAATGTGACAACAATCCCTTAGAGTACAACCCTGTCTTTATATTTTGATGGTCCTTTTTATTCCCTCCACAATGGATTGGCATTGCCATTTACTAGCCTAGAAACTTCCAGAGATTCCTCAAGGACTTTCTGGTTCTATATTCTGCTATTCCTTTCAGGTGTCCCATTTTTCTCACTATTATTCTATTAAATAGTATCCAGGTATGTCTTGCATGTTTGTGTTTCCATGTAGCAAAACCCAAGTTTTTCCCTAAAGCTCAGTGCAAATGCTATCCTCTCCATAGAAAAGCCCTTCAGTGTTCTACTGGGACAGCCTCTCCTGACTCTGTCTACGATGCTTTAGGCACTTACATGCTCCTTGGCATTATGGTATGATTCTGAGGTAGAGTATAAGCAACTTAGATTTTCATTAGAATGTATTGTTTCCAATTTATTTTTATTTTATTTCAATTCTTTGATATCTTCTTTTTGACCCAGGAGAAAAAAAAACCACACACACACACATATGTACTGTGTGGTTGTCAGGTGTAGCATTCTATATGTATTAGTTTAGACTAAATTTCTAAATCCTCTCATTCAGATATTCTATATCATATTATTAGTTTTAAAATCTCTTACTGTGAGTATAGATTTTAGCATGTAGTTCTGCCAATTTTTTAAAAAATATATTTTATTGATTTTTTACAGAGAGGAAGGGAGAGGGATAGAGAGTTAGAAACATGGATGAGAGAGACATTGATCAGCTGCCTCCTGCACACTCCCCCACTGGGTATGTGCCCGCAAGCAAGGTACATGCCCTTGGCCGGAATCGAACCCGGGACCCTTGAGTCCGCAGGCTGACCTTCTATCCACTGAGCCAAACCGGTTAGGGCTGACAATTTTTGATATATTTATATTTTAGGTCATTTCTTAGATATTTGTAAATTTGGATATTGTATATTGTATCTTCCAGGTTGGTTGCAATAGTTATCAAATGAAATTATCTTTTTTTATAGATCTATAAGGCTTGTCTTATCTTAAATTTGATTTGTCTGATTTAACTTAACTACACTCGCTTTTTTATTAGTAACTTTATGCTATATATTTTAAACTTTTAACCTTTCTGTATCTTTACTTTTTAACAGGAATTATGAATAGCAATTAATTTGTATTTAAAATATAATCTGATCATCTTTTAACTGGAACATCAAGTCCTAGATTTAATGTCATTGCTGATGCATTTATGCTCATACTTTTGATCTAAATT